CGTGGCAGCTTGTCCGGCGCCTTCCACACAAGGTGGTAAACCTAGGTATGCCATACCGGCGCGGCTTTCGTGTTCACTGTGTAGCGGCTGGAGGTAACCCTGCACCCAATGACAGCGGCACTGGGGTCTCGGCGTTCTGCCCCTCCGCGCAAGCCGAGGGAGGTCCGCACAATCTAGTGGTGGGAGGTCCCCACCTGCAGTTCGCCAGATATAGTGTCATCCCAGTGTCGTGAGGAAACCCAGACGGAGGAACCTGCGGGTGTGGCTCGCGGGACCCTTACGAGCAAGCCCTCCGTCGGGTGCAGGATAGTGCCTAAGGTCGCTAGGTGGTGGTTCATGTTAGCTGTGCCGGTGGGGTGGTCTACAGAGACCTTTCTCGCCCCCGCCGAGGCACCTTTGGCCAGGTGCACTTCTAGCAACACCCGATTTTCGAGTAGGGGATCGACTGCAGACTTGATTCACCCCAGGCTTAATCTTCCCTACGGAATCTACGACGAAATCTTAGAATGTTTGCAAATCTACGTACGGAGAATTCTGAGTATCTGTCCGCAGATTCGACGAGACAGCTGAAGTTTGGGGAAGGCAATTCTGCAGTCGATCCCCTGCTCGAGATTTGGGGGCTCTCTGTCTACGGAGAGTTCTGAGCGTCTGCCCGCAGATTCGACGAGACGGCTGATCGACTGCAGAACTGTTCAACAGTTTTGCAGGCGATCCCCCGGCTCGAGATTTGGGGGCTCTCCAAGGGCTCCCACGAGGGCGCGAAGTTCTTCGCGCTTCGCGGTCCTCGTTCCCTCTCCCCCTCCTCCTCATCTTCCTCGTCTCCTCTGGTTGGGGGGGCAGCGCGAGAGCGCGAGGTGATTCGCGCTTCGCGCCTCGCGGAGCGCGAAGTTGGGAGCCCTCGCTCTCTGCTTGCCCTCTCGGGGCCGCCCTGGGCCGCTCCCGGGCCGTCCCTGGCGTTGTGTGAGTCGATTGACGGAGAGGAAGCATGCCGCGAAATAATGTCCAGATGTCTTAACAATGTGTCAGACACGTTTTTATGCATTGTTTGAGACAGTTCTGGAACATGCTCTGCACTTTTTCGAACACACCCTTAACTCAATGCCAGGACTGTCAGGGTGCCCCTTGTCGTGGCATCCGCGACCCTGGCGCGCCGTGCCTCGGGCCTCCGCCCGGGCTGCCTCGGCCTGCTGCCTGCAGGAGGCCGCCGCGGGCCCGCCTCCCGGGTCGGCCCCGAGCGGGCCCGTCGCCGGCCCCGCTCGGGCCGGCGGTGGCGCCAACGGCAGGGCAGAGCGCGGGCGCGAGGGGATTCGCGCTTCGCGCCCCGCGGTCCTCGTTCCTTCTCCCGCTCCTCCTCGTCCTCCTTCTCTTCCTCTGGGGGGGGCGAAGCGAGAGCGCGGGGTGATTCGCGCTTCGCGGAGCGCGAAGCGAGAAGTTGAGAGCCCCCCAGGGCAGACCGCCATGGGGGAAGCGGGTCCCGAGGGAAAGAGGCCCTGTGGTTTTTGCGTGCCGTTTTCGGGCTCGGGGGGGGCTTCCACGGGCCCCAGGACTGCGAGACAGCGGCTCGGGACGAAGATCTTGTCCTGGGGGAAGGCCCCAGGGTCCAGGACCCGTTTCCCTCAGGACCCGTGTCCACCATGCTGGGAGAGGCGCTCGTGCCCGTCTTCTCGCGACCGCGGGCTCCGTGGTGGCCTCCCTCCCTACCCCCCCTTTTCCCTCCCTCCCTTCCTCCCTCCCTCCTCCCCTCTTCCATCCCTTCCCTCGTCTTCCCTCTTCCCTTCCTCCTCCTCCCCTCCCCCTCCTCCGCTCAGAGGCGGCGGCCTCTTCACCGGGTCTTGGCCAGGCCCGGGCGCTTGTCCGGTGGTCGTTCGCTCGCTCGCTCTTCCCTCCATCCCTCACTCCCTCCTCCCTGTCGTCATTCTCCCTCCTGCCTCCTCGTCGTCCTCCTCCGTCGAATCCTGCATGGTCCCGCCTCCGCGGTCCCTCCTCCTGGAGGGAACGGCGGGAAGGAGGAGGGGAAGGGGAGGAGGAGAAGGTGGAGGAGGAGGAGGAGGAGGAGGAGGAAGAGGAGGAGTAGGACGAGGAGGAGGGGGAGGATCAATAATTCACTGGTCACCACAATGTGGGAGGAGGAGGAGGAGGAGGAGGAGGAGGAGGAGGAGGAGGAGGAGGAGAAAGAGGAGGACCAGTACACATGCAACACGCATCAACGATGTTGCAATCGACCGGCCCTCCAAGTTCCCTTTTAATAGGTCCCTACAACATGTAGTTTCTCTGCGGGAGGTGCCCTGTTGGAAGACAACCGTCTGAGAATCGCCCATCGCGCCATAAACCGTTCCTGGGACTTCATCGCCGCGAGTGCAATGGAGATTCATGCCAAGAGACACCCTGCTTGCCTCCAGGGTGCCCTGGGTTTCTTGTGTTTCGATGGTTTTGCTATGGAGAGCGTGACGTTCCCACACCAAAATCAATGGACGTCCTGGGTTCCCAGGGTTGGGTTTCTTGTTGAAGGTTTCTGTGGTCGGGCCCCTACTGTACGTAAACTTATTTTTTGTGTCCTGGCGATCCTGAATCGTGCCAGAACACAATTTCTCAACACCGCGAATCAGCGTGACTGTTTCGTCCTGGCAGCCCCAAATGGTGCCAGGACACAGTTTCTGAGATTCAAGTTTACGAATCATTTAAGTGAAAGCGCGCGTTTTGTGGACGCTGGGACGGGGGGGGGGATTCGAACCGGACCACCCACTGAATTGCAAGGATGGGTGGAGGGGCCGAATTGGGGGTGAGCTGGGGCTCAAGAGGGGTTCGACCCGGGTGGGGGGAGGGGCCTGAATGGCAGGGGGGGGAGGGTTCGAACGGGGAAGGGACCCCCCTCTCTCGTAGGATTCTACGGGAGCTGGGTCGAGTCCTAGTAGGTTTCAAGTAGAGCTGTATCCAGCCCAAGTAGGATCCTGTGAGAGGTGGATCGAGCCTTCGTAGGACTCAATTAGAGCTATATTCAGTCATAGTGGAATCATTTTAAAATTGGACTGGGCACTGCTAGGATGCGATTAAAATTGGACCGGGCCCTCGTAGGATTCTATTAGAATTGGATCGAGCTCCTTTAGGCTCTCATTACAGCTGGATCCAGCATTGCTTTATTTTCAGAGCTGGAGAGAGCCTTCTCAGGATTATATTAGAGCTTGGTCGAGCCTCAATCGGGTCTATTGGGGGGAGTAGGGTTCTGTAAACAGACCGATCTTTTATTATCGAGGACGCCTACGGCGAATCACCGCTGCCCCTTGTCTTCTTGGAAGCGCCTGTGTGGCCGAACGTTGTGGCCATGGCTCGGCCAATCTATCGGCCTATCCGTTCCCCCAGCCGTTGTGGAAACCCTTGGGGCAATACGTGGGAGAGAAAGAATAATAATAAGGAGACGAAAAATAATGTTTGCATTAAAATACGAAACATACCAGGAACATGAAGACGAATGGTCGATTACTAATCGTACTAAGAGTGGTAAGCAAATACCAACATCAACAATGACAAGCATACGATTAACAACAAGGATACGAGTAGCACTGATACTATTAAGAATGGTAATACGCATAATCAGTATACTATTACGACTTAAAATGCGAATGATAGTACGACTACGAATACGAATAATCATATTGAGAAGATTCATGCGATTCAGAATGCTAAGACGAATCGTAATAATTCGAGTGGTAATGATACGTGTAATAATGATTAACGTAAGTGTAAGAAGAAGAATCATAATCATACTAGTACTGTTATTATTTCTACTACTACTAATCTTACTACTACTAATAATAATACTAATAACAATACTAATAGTCCGAATACTTATACTATTAATAGTATTCTTATTACTACTACTACTACTACTACTACTACTACTACTACTACTACTACTACTACTACGACTACGACTACGACTACCACTACTACTACTACTACTACTACTACTACTACTACTACTACTAGTACTACTACTACTATTACTACTACTACTACCACCACTACTACTACTACTACTACCACTACTACTACTACTACTACTACTACTAATAATAATAATAATAATAATAATAATAATAATAATAAAACTAACAGTAATAATAAGAAGAATGAGAAACAAGGAGGAGGAGGAGGAGGAAGAAGCGTGTCGGGAGCCCATTGGGGCACACTTGGGGTCTCCTTAGAGCTTCCTGGGGGCCTCTTGAAGGCCTCCTCGGGTCTCTTGGGGGCATTTGGAAGCTTCTTGGGGGCCTCTTCGGCCGTCGTAGGGCGTCCCTTGCACGTCTGACGCAGTCGGAAGCCGCCTTGGGGGCCTCTTTGGGTCGTCTTTGGGCCTTCTCAGGGCGCTCCAGGGACGTCTTGGAGGCCTTCTTGGGCGTCTTGGAGGCCTCCTGGGCCGTCTCGGGGCTCTCCTGGGGCCGTCGTGGGGGCCACTTGGGCCGCATGCCGTGCACCCCTGTGGCAAGACAACAGGGGGCTGCGGATAACGGGAAGTGCTCGTAGCGTCGCGATCCGTGGCTCGCGAGAAAGGGGAAGTGTGAGGGGAGGCCTCGGGGGGCCCCAGATCAAGTGGCTCAATTTTCGGACATGCTCGGCCCTGGACGGTCCAAGTCAGTCCCAAGAGCGCCCCAAGACGGCCCCAAGACGGCCCAAGACGAGCTCGCAAGCTACCGCCACGACGGTTTCAGGGAGGCCCGAGAGGGCCCCAAGACGGCCCGAGAGCGCTCAAAGATGGCCCAGGACGGCCTGAAGGCTGCCAAAGAGACCCTCAAGACGCTCCACGAGGCCTCCAGGACGGCCCAGAGGCAAGCATCGTGTCATCCTCCTTGGGAAAACGTGCCTATTTTGCATATCTGCTTCTTTGGTCCTCGCTGGGTCCACGACTGCCCAAGAGGCCCCCGGCCTCCTCCTCCTCCTCCTCGTCCTCGTCCTCGTCGTCGTCCATCCTCGCCCTGCCTGGCCGCGACCCTGCGTGCGTAGAGGCTCAGCAGCTACGACTCGCTCAACATAGCGCTCCTCGTCTTCGCGCTGGCCGGCGCACCCCTGCCCGCCCGCGCGTGCCCCCCTGCTCTCGGGTGCGCAGGGACAGCGGCCGCAGTGAGGCGGGATCCCCGACCGAGCAACAGCAGGAGGAAGAGGAGGAGGAGGAGGAGGAATGAGTGAATGAATGAATGAGTGAATGAATGAAGAAATGAATGAATGAATGGGATAGGGGCAAAGGATGATGATGATGATGATGATGATGATGATGATGATGATGATGATGATGATGATGATGATGATGATGATGATGATGATGATGATGGTGATGGTGATGGTGATGGTGATGGTGATGTTGATGGTGATGGTAATGGTGATGGTGATGGTGATGGTGATGGTGATGGTGGTGGTGGTGATAATGATGATGATGATGGCGATGGAGATGGCGATGGCGATGGCGATGGCGATGGAGTGAGGGTGAGGGTGAGGGTGAGGATGAGGAGGAGGATGCGGATGAGGATAATGATGACGATGATGATGATGATGGATGATGATGGATGATGATGGATGATGATGACGATGACGATGACGATGACGATGATGATGATGATGATGATGATGATGATGATGATGATGATGATGATGATGATGATGATGATGCTGATGATGATGATGATGATGATGATGATGATGATGAGGAGGAGGAGGAGGAGGAGGAGGAGAAGGAGGAGGAGGAGGACTCTAAGACGATATCCTTCCTTCGGCGTGAAAGGTCCCCAGGTGGCTGGACTGGACGTTAGAAGAGCAGCCACCAGAATTAGGGCTTCGAGCCCTGGCGCGCGTCGATTGGCGCCCTCCAAGAATGAGTGTGGCAATGCATGCGGGGCCACAGCCCCAACAGGACTATGGCAAACATGAGGGGCCACGTTCCCAGCATGGACATGGCAACCTACGTGGGGTCAACACTCCAGGCGGCCATGCATGAGGGGCCACAGCCCCAACATGACTATGGCCCAGACTGGCAACGGGGCCAAAACTCCAACATGCGGGGTCCATGCATGAGGGCCCAAATGTGAGGGAACATATGTTTTCCGCTTGAGCCACAACGGTTGCAGTGCACAACTGCTGCTACATTTCGGGCTTGCGGGCCCATCCGCTATCGATCTGCGGCCTCTGGGCACACAACCTTGGGAGTGAAACATAAAGCTAAACCTATACCCGAGAATCTGGACTCCTGAACAGAAAGCTAAACCTGTACCCGAGAATGTGGGCTCCTGAAACACAGCCCTGGACAGGCCGGGAACTAGGCAAGGGGAGTGTGGCAGGATGGCGATGAGATTGATCATCTGAGGTGGCGGCGGCGTCTGCGGCGGATCCTTCCCTTGGATGTCTTGGGTAGGCCCGCCGGCGCCAGCCGCACTGCTCCTGCGGCTGGGCAAGTTCGCGCCGCACAGGGAGCCGCGGCTGCATGTGAGCGACGTGGCAGAGCACATTTCTGGCAAGGACAGTCTTGTTTTAACACATCGGGTTTGTGTTTTAAGAACATTAATTGTTTTTGTTCTCAGAACGTTTTTGGGTTCTAAGAAAATTTCGTGGTAGGCCTGTAGGAATGCCGGGACGGTCGGTCCCTGCTCAAGTCCTGCGCGCGCGGAGGTTACAGGCTCGATGATGCCTCGCCCGCCTTTGCCCTTTCCCTCCACGACCTGGGCACCTTTGCCCCTGGTCCCCTTGCCATGGTCGGTGCCGAACATGGTGCGGGTATGCGGAGCTAGCGCTGGGGCGGCGGACACTTGAGCCGTACGTCGACTCACGGTGCCGAAGATGGCAGGGAGGCTGCATGGTGGAGCGAGGGGCAGCAGGTGACCGACGCCACATTGGGTTCCCCCCCCCCGCCTGAGCAACCAGATGGATAATCCATTGGGGCCTCCGTGGGCCCAAGAGCCATGGGGCACACAAATTTTCCGAACGTGCGTGCGACATGAACGCAGGACTGCCAGCATTGCCGCCAGGCTGTTTCCTGGAGGTTGACACCTCTTATGGGGGCACGTTGAATTTCCCCCTCTTCCTGAGCATCCAGAAGGACAATCCAATCTATATTGTGGGGTTGGATGCGGGGGCCACGTGGGGACAACGACTCGAAAGCGCGCGCGCTTAACATGAACGCAGGACTGCCGGCATTTCCGCCGGGCTGTGTCCTGGAGGTTGACACCTCTTATGGGGGGACAGACAGAAGAACAGCGGCTACGGAATGGGAGGAAGTGGGGGGCGAAACGAAGTTGTCCTTTTGGCACCAACATGTGCCTCTTCTGTGGGCATCTGAGGGGGCTCCTCGGGACACCACTCGTCGTCGTCGTGAAGGAGGGGGAGGAGCGAGGAGGGAGCGAAGCGCGGTTATCTCCATGGCACTGCCGCATGCCAACTCCATTGATACATGGAGACGTGAGCTGGCCATTTCTATTTGGCCAAGATCGGACCTTGAACGCCCCACCTGGTCGCCCCCCCTAAACCGCGTTACGCGGCCGGGGGGCTCCTCGGGACACCGCTCGTCGTCGTATGGAGGGGGGAAGGAGCAAGGAGGGAGCGAAGCGCGGATATCTCCATGGCACTGCTGGGTGCCATCTCAGTTGATCAATGGAGAAGTGATCTGGCCGTCTCAGCTGGCCAAGATCGGACCTTGAACGCCCCACCCGGTCGCCCCCCCTTGACCGCGTGAGCGGCTGGGGGGGCTCCTCGGGACACCACTCGTCGTTGTGATGGAGGGGGAGGAGCAAATAGGGAGCGAAGCGCGATTATCTTCATGGCGCCGACGACGACTCCGACAGCCTCCTCCTCCGTAGAGTAAGGTCGTCGGCGCCGTCGCGGCGTCGGCCGTCAGTTGTCGTCGACGTCGCGGCTAGGACAGGAAGCAATATAGAAGGCTCTACTGGATGAGTGTGTGAGAAGATGCAGGACCGCCGGCATTGCCACTGGGCTGTGCCCTGGAGGTAAACATGTCGTGTGAACAGATACAGCAAGCCTGGGAGAATGGAAGAACGGGAAGGATACAGAACAAACAAAGAAATATGAAGTAATGCGCTGGGACGGCTGTACTGGGAGCGGACGAGGACTCGGTGGAAAACGAAATAGATAAGAAACGAACGAGCAGGCGTGCACTCGTGATGTGTGCGCAGGACTGCCGGCATTGCCGCCAGGCTATGTTCTGGTGGGGTCGATACCCTTTACTTATCAACGAAAGCTGGGAAACGCTCCCCCTCGCAAAGCCATAACCGATGATGAACCGAGAATGTCACGAGAGAAAAACATGGACAAGCTTGCCTGAAAGCACTAATTGAAGAGCAAAACATGAACCTGTAGTTGCGTGGCAAAACGGGGATCGAGCGTGGCAGGGCAAGATGGGAGCCGAGAGAAAGATGAATAACCAACATGGCCTGTTACAGCAGGGAAATACTGTCGGATGGTATGGGAAAGACATTAAACCGTGCGGGAATGGGGAAGGCTCACCCCCATCCAGCCGTATCGGGGCGCTGCCCTGTGGAGGTGAATACCTCGTCGAATTGCTTGTGTCGCCCATGAGGCCTACTCCAGAGCGCTCGAGGAGTTGCTCTTCGGAGACCACTGGTCTCCTTACAGGCGCCCCGTGCGTCCTCCCCCGAATACCTAAATGGAACCCAGCGCACCACTGGCACGGGGATGAAGGGGAGGAGGAAGACGAGGAGGAGGAGAAAAAGGAAGCGGAATCGGAGGAGGAGGAAGCGGAGGTTGATGATGAGTATGATGATGATGAGGAGGAGGAGGACGAGGATGATGATGACGATGACGATGACGATGACGATGACGATGACGATGACGGTGATGATGGTGGTGGTGGTGATGATGATTACGATGATGATGCTGCTGCTGATGATGATGATGATAATGCTGATGATGATGAGAAGGAGGAGGAGAGATAGTAATATGATGACGATGACGATGACGATGACGATGACGATGACGATGATGATGATGATGATGATGATGATGATGATCATGATCATGATCATGATCATGATCATGATCATGATCATGATCATGATCATGATGATCATGATGATCATGATGATCATGATGATCATGATGAGCATGATGATCATGATGATCATTATGATTATGAGTATGAAAATGAGGATGATGGTGATATAGCCGGAGTGCAGTATCCCCAAACAGGGTTTTTAGACCCACTGCGGTTTCCAAGGTCGATTGCGTGCCCGTCCAGTGCGGGCTGGCATGGCATGTTAGAACATGCCTCCTCCTCCTCCTCCTCATCCTGCTCCTCCTCCTCCTCCTCCTCCTCCTCCTCCTCCTCCTCCACCACCTCCTCTTCATCCCGAACGGCATCTCGGAGCCCAGAGTTGCGAGGATGTCTCCAGCGTAACGGGCTGGACCACCTCGCGCGCGGCATTTCGGACCCCAGAGTTGCGACGATGTCTCGGGCGAAACGTGCTGCGAGGAAGTCTCAGGCGAAACGGGCCGGACCACCTCGAGCGCGGCGTCTCAGAGCTCCGAGTTGCGGGGGCCTCCTGGGCCTCCTGGGACCTCCTGGTGACCTCCTGGGGCTTCCTCCTGGGCCTCCTGTGGCCTCCTGGACCCCACCTGGGGCTTCCTGAAGCCTCTTGGGGCTCCCAGGGGGGGATATCTAACATGTGGCCGTCGGGGCCCCCCCAAATGGGGGGGGGCACAAGAGCAGGACAAATCAACGAATCGACACCGGATTTGTATTAACTTGACACGTTCTGATAGGGGGCCTCCTGGGGCCTCCTGGGAGCCTCCTGGGAATCTCCTGGGGACCCCTGGGGCCTGTCCTGGGCGTCCTGCGGCCTCCTGAAGCTCTCTGGGGCCTCCTGGGAGCCACATGTGGTCTTCTGGGCCCCCAGGCTGGACCACCTCTTGCGCAGCATCTGAGAGCTCAGAGTTGCGAGAATGTCTTGTGCGAAACGGGCCGGACCACCTTGCGCACGGCATCTCAGAGCTCAGAGTTGCGAGGATGTCTCAGGCGAGATGGGCCGGACCACCTC